AGGTCTTCCCAAGGCGTGGGCTTTTAAAAGAATATTTTTTCAAGGTCTTCCCAAGAATATTTTTTCAAGGTCTTTCCAAGGCGTGGGCTTTTAAAAGAATATGTTTTCAAGGTCTTCCCAAGGCGTGGATTTTTTAAAGAATATTTTTTCAAGGTCCCAACAAGGCGTGGATTTTTTAAAGAATATTTTTTCAAGGTCCCAACAAGGCGTGGATTTTTTAAAGAATATTTCTTCAAGGTCCCAACAAGGCGTGGATTTTTTAAAGAATATTTTTTCAAGGTCCCAACAAGGCGTGGATTTTTTAAAGAATATTTTTTCAAGGTCCCAACAAGGCGTGGATTTTTTAAAGAATATTTTTTCAAGGTCCCAACAAGGCGTGGATTTTTTAAAGAATATTTTTTCAAGGTCCCAACAAGGCGTGGATTTTTTAAAGAATATTTTTTCAAGGTCCCAACAAGGCGTGGATTTTTTAAAGAATATTTTTTCAAGGTCCCAACAAGGCGTGGATTTTTTAAAGAATATTTTTTCAAGGTCCCAACAAGGCGTGGATTTTTTAAAGAATATTTTTTCAAGGTCCCAACAAGGCGTGGATTTTTTAAAGAATATTTTTTCAAGGTCCCAACAAGGCGTGGATTTTTTAAAGAATATTTTTTCAAGGTCCCAACAAGGCGTGGATTTTTTAAAGAATATTTTTTCAAGGTCCCAACAAGGCGTGGATTTTTTAAAGAATATTTTTTCAAGGTCCCAACAAGGCGTGGATTTTTTAAAGAATATTTTTTCAAGGTCCCAACAAGGCGTGGATTTTTTAAAGAATATTTTTTCAAGGTCCCAACAAGGCGTGGATTTTTTAAAGAATATTTTTTCAAGGTCCCAACAAGGCGTGGATTTTTTAAAGAATATTTTTTCAAGGTCCCAACAAGGCGTGGATTTTTTAAAGAATATTTTTTCAAGGTCCCAACAAGGCGTGGATTTTTTAAAGAATATTTTTTCAAGGTCCCAACAAGGCGTGGATTTTTTAAAGAATATTTTTTCAAGGTCCCAACAAGGCGTGGATTTTTTAAAGAATATTTTTTCAAGGTCCCAACAAGGCGTGGATTTTTTAAAGAATATTTTTTCAAGGTCCCAACAAGGCGTGGATTTTTTAAAGAATATTTTTTCAAGGTCCCAACAAGGCGTGGATTTTTTAAAGAATATTTTTTCAAGGTCCCAACAAGGCGTGGATTTTTTAAAGAATATTTTTTCAAGGTCCCAACAAGGCGTGGATTTTTTAAAGAATATTTTTTCAAGGTCCCAACAAGGCGTGGATTTTTTAAAGAATATTTTTTCAAGGTCCCAACAAGGCGTGGATTTTTTAAAGAATATTTTTTCAAGGTCCCAACAAGGCGTGGATTTTTTAAAGAATATTTTTTCAAGGTCCCAACAAGGCGTGGATTTTTTAAAGAATATTTTTTCAAGGTCCCAACAAGGCGTGGATTTTTTAAAGAATATTTTTTCAAGGTCCCAACAAGGCGTGGATTTTTTAAAGAATATTTTTTCAAGGTCCCAACAAGGCGTGGATTTTTTAAAGAATATTTTTTCAAGGTCCCAACAAGGCGTGGATTTTTTAAAGAATATTTTTTCAAGGTCCCAACAAGGCGTGGATTTTTTAAAGAATATTTTTTCAAGGTCCCAACAAGGCGTGGATTTTTTAAAGAATATTTTTTCAAGGTCCCAACAAGGCGTGGATTTTTTAAAGAATATTTTTTCAAGGTCCCAACAAGGCGTGGATTTTTTAAAGAATATTTTTTCAAGGTCCCAACAAGGCGTGGATTTTTTAAAGAATATTTTTTCAAGGTCCCAACAAGGCGTGGATTTTTTAAAGAATATTTTTTCAAGGTCCCAACAAGGCGTGGATTTTTTAAAGAATATTTTTTCAAGGTCCCAACAAGGCGTGGATTTTTTAAAGAATATTTTTTCAAGGTCCCAACAAGGCGTGGATTTTTTAAAGAATATTTTTTCAAGGTCCCAACAAGGCGTGGATTTTTTAAAGAATATTTTTTCAAGGTCCCAACAAGGCGTAAATTTTTTAAAGAATATTTTTTCAAGGTCCCAACAAGGCGTGGATTTTTTAAAGAATATTTTTTCAAGGTCCCAACAAGGCGTGGATTTTTTAAAGAATATTTTTTCAAGGTCCCAACAAGGCGTGGATTTTTTAAAGAATATTTTTTCAAGGTCCCAACAATGCGTGGATTTTTTAAAGAATATTTTTTCAAGGTCCTAACAAGGCGTGGATTTTTTAAAGAATATTTTTTCAAGGTCCTACACAAGGCGTGGATTTTTTAAAGAATATTTTTTCAAGGTCCTACACAAGGCGTGGATTTTTTAAAGAATATTTTTTCAAGGTCCTACACAAGGCGTGGATTTTTTAAAGAATATTTTTTTCAAGGTCCTACACAAGGCGTGAATTTTTTATAGAATATTTTTTCAAGGTCCTACACAAGGCGTGGATTTTTTAAAGAATATTTTTTCAAAGTCCTACACAAGGCGTGGATTTTTTAAAGAATATTTTTTCAAGGTCCTACACAAGGCGTGGATTTTTTAAAGAATATTTTTTCAAGGTCCTACACAAGGCGTGGATTTTTTAAAGAGTATTTTTTCAAGGTCCTACACAAGGCGTGGATTTTTTAAAGAATATTTTTTCAAGGTCCTACACAAGGCGTGGATTTTTTAAAGAATATTTTTTCAAGGTCCTACACAAGGCGTGAATTTTTTAAAGAATATTTTTTCAAGGTCCTACACAAGGCGTGGATTTTTTAAAGAATATTTTTTCAAGGTCCTACACAAGGCGTGGATTTTTTAAAGAATATTTTTTCAAGGTCCCAACAAGGCGTGGATTTTTTAAAGAATATTTTTTCAAGGTCCCGCACAGATGTAAACAATTCTGTCACTCCTATCTTATCGATGTTGTTATCCCCCATAAAATGTGCTTCTGAGAGACAACAGTAACCTGTGAGAATTATTATCCTCAGCACTTTCATGCTCACTCACCCACACACACACGCAAGCTTTCGCCTACAAACATACACGTGTACATTACCACGGGTGCATGTCGTCTGACTCCCTCGTATTATTATTTCCGAAGGATATGACAGTCGACCAAATAACAACCAAATGGAAATGAAAATGAAAAAAACATGTCAATTAAAATACGTAAATGTGGGTGAGAAGAAAATCAATAAAAGTAAACAACGAAAGGAATAATACAAATCTGTATTTGTGAAAAAAAAACATATACACAGTCAGGCACCCGCACACATCCTCACATACATGTGGAGATGTGGGTGAACTTGTTGGCACAAATAAACGTAGTGAAGTGACGTTTGTTGTCGCTGGCAACAACAAAAAACTGTCATTTTTTAAATGAATTCGTATTAATTTTAGAATGTCATGCAACGCGGCCTAACAAAAAATATTGGCGGGAATTTTATGAGAAAGATCCACGATCTGGGAAGACCTTGAAAAACTGTTTTTAAAAAATCCACGCCTTGAAAAAATATTCTTTAAAAATCCACGCCTTGAAAAAATATTCTTTAAAAATCCACGCCTTGAAAAAATATTCTTTAAAAATCCACGCCTTGAAAAAATATTCTTTAAAAATCCACGCCTTGAAAAAATATTCTTTAAAAATCCACGCCTTGAAAAAATATTCTTTAAAAATCCACGCCTTGAAAAAATATTCTTTAAAAATCCACGCCTTGAAAAAATATTTATTAAAAATCTACGCCCTTTGAAAAAATATTTATTAAAAATCTACGCCCTTTGAAAAAATATTTATTAAAAATCTACGCCCTTTGAAAAAATATTTATTAAAAATCCACGCCTTGAAAAAATATTCTTTAAAAATCCACGCCTTGAAAAAATATTCTTTAAAAATCCACGCCTTGAAAAAATATTCTTTAAAAATCCACGCCTTGAAAAAATATTTTTTAAAAATCCACGCCTTGAAAAAATATTCTTTAAAAAATCCACGCCTTGTTGGGACCTTGAAAAAATATTCTTTAAAAAATCCACGCCTTGTTGGGACCTTGAAAAAATATTCTTTAAAAAATCCACGCCTTGTTGGGACCTTGAAAAAATATTCTTTTAAAAATCCACGCCTTGTTGGGACCTTGAAAAAATATTCCTTTAAAAAATCCACGCCTTGTTGGGACCTTGAAAAAATATTCTTTAAAAAATCCACGCCTTGTTGGGACCTTGAAAAAATATTCTTTAAAAAATCCACGCCTTGTTGGGACCTTGAAAAAATATTCTTTAAAAAATCCACGCCTTGTTGGGACCTTGAAAAAATATTCTTTAAAAAATCCACGCCTTGTTGGGACCTTGAAAAAATATTCTTTAAAAAATCCACGCCTTGTTGGGACCTTGAAAAAATATTCTTTAAAAAATCCACGCCTTGTTGGGACCTTGAAAAAATATTCTTTAAAAAATCCACGCCTTGTTGGGACCTTGAAAAAATATTCCTTAAAAAATCCATGCCTTGTTGGGACCTTGAAAAAATATTCTTTAAATAATCCACGCCTTGTTGGGACCTTGAAAAAATATTCTTTAAAAAATCCACGCCTTGTTGGGATCTTGAAAAAAATATTTTTTTTTAAAAGATTATATATTGCCTTACAAACCTTTAAATTTATGTTGAAGTCCTTGGCCACTTTTGTGGCCAAAAACCTTGCCTTGTCCCGCCATTCCGCCATCCTATTTAATAATTAAAAATTTCTGAAATTTATAATTCGTTTTTTATAAATTTCTAATGAATTTTATTAAGAATTCCATGTAAGACAGACAGTCTGTCACCTCCTCAAAAAAACCCAAGAACAAAAACTTCTTATATGTCATAGGTCAATAGATCCAACCCTCTGAACCAAAAACTCAATTTTCTTTTGCTTGTCTTTTTAACAACAAAATTTGTTATTAACACCTTCCACCCACCTGTGTTCGGTTTTTGTTTTGTTTACTTTGACCAGATGCCAGTGCAGCACAGGACACCGGCGAACAAGGCAACGAATGGAATCGTACTACTCAAAATCAGAACAGTGCCAGCGCTGGCGGTGGACGTTTAGTCGGTTCGCCAAATATAAACGCTACCGATATGCAAAATGTTGGAAAAATAAAATTCGATCCGCCCAAAGTGCCAGTGATATTTGTTTTAGGCGGCCCAGGTAGTGGCAAAGTGACCCACTGCGACACCTTTATGCAGGAACGCCGTGGGGTGACACACATCAATATGATGGATTTGCTGCAACAGTATGCCATGGGAAACGGTAAGTTCGAAGAGGGTGAGGAGAGGTACCCAACTGCCATTAATTGTTGTTTCTTGTTACAGATATGCAAGACTTTTCACAATTATCTTCAAAAACCGTCACCGAAGTTTTAATGTTAGAAATGAAAATGGCTCCAGCTGCCAAAGCCTATTTAATCTCAGGATATCCGCGATCGATGCGAGATGTTGTCGAATATTCAGAGAAGGTGAGTACAAACAAAGAATACCTGAATTACCCAATCCTAGCAAAAGTCCCTGACAAAAATATCCTTTAAAAAATCCACGCCTTGTCTGGATGCCCGGAAAGAAATATCCTTTAAAAAATCCACGCCTTGTCTGGATGCCCGGAAAGAAATATCCTTTAAAAAATCCACGCCTTGTCTGGATGCCCGGAAAGAAATTCACGCCATGTCTGGATGCCTGAAAAAAACATCCTTTAAAAAACCCACACCTTGTCTGGATGCCTGAAAAAATATCCTTTAAAAAATCCATGCCATGTCCGGATGCCTGCAAAAATCTCCTTTAAAAAATCCACGCCTTGTCTGGATGCCTGAAAAAATATCCTTCAAAAAATATTTAAAAAAATCCACCTTTAAAGATCTTTAACTTCTGTTCGACCTTAAACATTTTGTTTTAAATTCCCACTTCGGTGGGCTTATAATTTCCCACTATCCGTTAGAAGTTCTGCTCCTGCTTTAATTATTACTTCATTGCGACTTCTTGGCCTACATGTAATTCTTCGCCTTATTTGTTTTCCTTGTCCTTTCTGTTTAAACACACAAAGTTCGGCTAGATAAGAACATATAGACATATTTGTTTAACACTAAGGCCCTGAATGTTGATTATCCCTTTCACAGGGCCACAACAAAAGGTTCCTAACTTCTCCCACCCCCACCCTTTGGAGACCCACCACTCATTCGGCCGAATTGTTTACACAATAAATTTTAATCAAGTTGCCATTCAGTTCAGTTTTGTGGTTCTTGCGGTTTGAGTTTGGCCTCATTTTCGAACTTCGTTGGGTTGCGGGGGAGGTTGTCTTTGGTTTTTCCCTATTACATGGCCAATAACGAGCACGAGCGGCTAGCGCTGTGCTTGAATTTGAACCTGAATTAATTAAAATGTTTAATTAATAATAAATCATTCATTCACTCGTTCGTTCGGTTCGTGGGTTCACCCTGCCGCCCCAATTGCCAGCCAACCCCACCAACAATGTCATTAATGAATGATGCACTACCACCTGAATATTGGAGGAAAAAAGTAGAGGTCGGGCAGTGGTGGTGATTCGGTTGGTCGGTCATTCGATAGCGGAAATGTGGCTAGAAGGACGATACCACCACCGCCGCCACAACTAGTCATTGTCCTGAGCCCGACAGCATGTGTCAGAGTTACACACACTTATGTATGTAGTCCATGTCCAATGTCACACGAATGTAGGAGTGCTCTGCCCGGTCCGCCAATGTCATAAATTGTGGGAAAATAACCAAAACTTTTTTTATTAGATGATGAAAAATTGATTTATGTTTTATATGGCAGTAGTTCACCCTGAAGGAGGTCGATAAAAAAATATTTTCCAGACAGGATTTTTAAAAAATATATATTTTTCAAGGTCCCACAGAGGCGTGGATTTTTTAAAGAATACTTTTTCAAGGCCCAAACAAGGCGTAGATTCTTAAAGAATGTTTTTTCAAGGCCCGAACAAGGCGTAGATTTTTTAAAGAACATTTTTCAAGGCCGATATAAGACGTGGATTTTTTAAAGGACATTTTTTCAAGGCCGATATAAGGCGTGGATTTTTTAAAGGACATTTTTTCAAGGCCGATATAAGACGTGGATTTTTTAAAGGACATTTTTCAAGGCGCGGATTTTTTAAAGAACATTTTTTCAAGGCCGATATAAGGCGTGGATTTTTTAAAGGACATTTTTTCAAGGCCGATATAAGGCGTGGATTTTTTAAAGGACATTTTTTCAAGGCCGATATAAGGCGTGGATTTTTTAAAGGACATTTTTTCAAGGCCGATATAAGGCGTGGATTTTTTAAAGGACATTTTTTCAAGGCCTATAAAAGGCGTGGATTTTTTAAAGAATATTTTTTCAAGGCCTATAAAAGGCGTGGATTTTTTAAAGAATATTTTTTCAAGGCCTATAAAAGGCGTGGATTTTTTAAAGAATATTTTTTCAAGGCCTATAAAAGGCGTGGATTTTTTAAAGAATATTTTTCCAGGTTCCACAGAGGTGTATAGATCTATAAAAAAATATTTCTTCCAGGTACCACAGAGGTGTAGATCTATAAAAAAAATATTTTTAAGGTCCAACAGAGGCTCATTGAACTTTAGACAATATTTTTCAACATCCAGCAAACTGTGTTAGAGAATTTTGTAAGGAAATCCATAACCGTGTATGGACGAAAAATAATATTAAAAAGGTGTCGGGATTATTGATTCTGCAACCAATTATCGCCCATATTCCCATCATCTTTATTGTGCTTCCGATGATGGGAAACAACTTTAAAAATAATTTTGTAATGTATTTATTTAATGTGGGCCGAAATCCCGGCGGTACTGCAATACCGGGCCAACCCGTGGCAGGGGTGGAGCAAGCCCCTAAACACCCCGCCTATTTCCAAAAATCAGTTTAACATTTGTTGTCCTCCGATGGAGGATCTATCAGATGTTAAGCTGATAAGAACAGATACTACACTTTGATCTTAGCCATAAGGCCGAGAAGCGATAACTTGACTCGGCACAATGGGAACATCATAACCATATGAATCACTCAACTGAATGAGAATTATGTGATAGTAACGGTACGGGGAAATGTGGCATTTAAGCAATGAATAAAGTTATAGCATAGGAAAATAACAGCGAAAGAGGCATACGATGAACAAACATAATTTTTCAACAGTCATCGTGCTACCTACCTACTATCAGATATTCGTACAGAAATATGTATATATGTACGTATGTGTGTTCGATGTTCGAACATTCCGAACCATAAGCAAGCAACCCCTTTGTGAAGTGTTTCACAACAACAAAGGTTGTATTGTTTTTTTGCTTGGCTTGTGTGCTATCAACAATTCTGGAAGTAGCAGTCGGATTTGCGGGACAAGCAAGAGAGGTTGGTTGTTAAGCAGCTGGGCACAGTTCATTTATGTGCTGTATCAGCAGATACTACGTCTACGTGCGAATGAATACTTGTTCAGCATGTCAGATTATTAGGCAAGTTTTTTCGCGTAATATTTTTGGAAAATTTAAAATAACGAATGAGATATCACTTTGAAATAATTTGTTGAATAAAAATTAAATTTTTTGTTGAAAAAAATTAATTTTTAATTAAAAATCTCTTAGAGGCTCTGTATCAGTCCAGCAACATAAACAAATTATTTTTTTTTATTTATTTACAGTAGTAGATAAAACATAGCTATTAAATACAGCACCACAATAAATGATGACACATCATCATGCTATGAAAAGCACATTTTAATTAGGGTTGCCATGTAACAAAATTGGTATTATAGGGAATCCGTATGTGTTTCAATTCAAGTTTAATTTTAGGCGAGGAAGTCCTCAATAGTCGAGGATTTTCACAAACCAAATTTTTAATTCTAATTTTAGGCGTGAAAATTTGCAAACATTAAAAAAATCTTGGAGGATAGGAGTGGATATTTTACAGATATTTTTCCGAAGTCTTAGATTGGGCAATTTTAAAACATATTTTATTTAAAGTCTAGGTTTATTTAAAGCCAAAACACATTCATAAAAATTCAGTGGCTCAGATAGGCTTTAAAAAAATATTCTTACAAATCCAGTTGCTCAGATAGACCTTTAAAAATATTCTCAAAAAACTAAAGGATCAGAACAGGGTCTTCAAAAATAATTCTCAAACATTCAATTTAAGAAAAATTATTCTTAACCCTACATAGGGTCAGATAGAGCTAGCAAAAATTATATATAATTTTAGGGATCGATATTTTGAAACTATTTTCTTAAGTATAAATCCCGATGTAGTTAGACTTGAGAAAGATAGATTGTTAGATTGTTTTTCTCGAGGATAAAGACAGCCCCTAGAAAGGCCTAGAAAATTGTTTTTAAACATTTACAAGCCCAGATTGGCCTAGAAAAATTGTTTAAACATTCACAGGCTCAGATAGACCAAGAACGGTTCCGAATATACACAAGCTCACATTTAAAAAGGCATACCAAAATTATACTTCAAAATTAAGGGGATCAGATAGGCCTTGAAAAAATATTCTTAAACATTAAGAGGGTCAGATAGGTGTACCAAAATAATGCCTGCAAATTCATACTCTTAGAAAATGTATTCTTAAAAATCGATTGTCTGATAGGCTTTGAATAACAAAGGATAATATAGGCCATGAAAATTTATTTATTAAAATGCAGACCAAGGTATATTTATAAGGTAACCGTATCAAGGCAGCTGATGGTAACATTATATGTCAAACAGAATTTTGTTATTTAAAAAGAGAATTTAAATTTAAAAACAAAAACAATGCGTTTGCTTTTTATTGAAATACATGTTGTGAAAGAATTAAAAAAACCAATAACATAAATCTGGAATATTGGACTTAAATTTTTTGCGGAGCAAAACTATGCGGTGATTATCTTATACTTCAGCCTCTAACAATACCATAGTTATGACCTTCATAGAAAATGAAATAAAGTTATTGGTCCATTTCAAAATATCATTGCCAAAACTATTGGTTTTGCCTTTGACCAAAATGAACATCATAACTTAATGAAGTACAGATGGATGGGCACACAGATATGACTTGAATTTCAGTTGATACAACAGATAACATAAGAACAAACTCTACCCTTAAAGGAGATGAAATTTAAACAGAAAAAAGATAGTGGATTCTACACCCAGAATATTTTGTCCGTATTTGTGAATCTTGGAGCAGTTAAATTTTGCTAGATTTCCGACACCGAAACACGTTTTGTATGCCTTTATCATTATTTAAATTTGTTTCGAATTTCATTTGGAGTCCATGGAATGCATTAAAATTCAAGGATAAATAGTCAACGCCCGGTTCCGTTCCTAAGTTCTTCATTGAATTTAAGTCGCGGTTTGATGTTCTTTTTCAATCACCAATCTGAATTTGCACAAACATTCATAATTTTAAAAATTACTAAAAAGTAAACAAATATTTTTAATATTTCAAAATGCTGAATTCTGATTGGTTGAATGAAATTCGCTTCAAATTTGATATGTTACGGCGAATCAATTATTATTTGCCTTGTTAACTATTTTGACATATCATGTTCCCAATTCGCCGATGCGGCTACCTTATGTATCTACCTTGATGCAGACGGTTAGTCCTGATTTAGATTAGGCGAGTTTACTTGCAGCAATTCTTATCGCTCTCTTCTGAACTTGCTTCATGCGTCTATACAAGGCAATTCGGTTTCAAAATATTTGTTTTTTTTCTGAATACATATGAATACAGCAGAAAAAAGTACCCTCATCGAACATGTTCTGCATTTGTATTGGTATTTCAAATTACTGACACGAAATAAACAAAACGAATTGCCAGAAAATTGCCGATGCGAGCAAATTTTTATTTTCATTTCTATTCCCCTTGCAACTCTCTCCTACAAACTAAGACTTGCCGCAGGTAAACTCGCCTAATCTAAATTGGGACTTAGATGGGCTTAGAACAAATATTTTTAAAAATCGAAAGGGCGACATAGGCCTAGACAAATTATTATTAAATATTTACAGTATCGGAAAGGCCTAAAAAATTAATTTGTTTTAAAGTCAGGAGGGTTTAGATAGGAAGAGAAAATGTATTCTTAGAAATACAGTGGCTCAGATGAACCTTAAAAATATTCTGAAAAATCCAGAGTGTCAAGCAGACCTGGCAAACTTAATACTTAAAACATCAGACCGTCAGATAGGCACATAAATTTATTCTGAAAAATCTTGTATGAGATTGACTTTAAAAAAATATTCTTTAATATTCAGAGGCTCAGACAGGCCTAGAAGAAAGGTTCTTAAAAATCCAGAGGGTTACATAGGCCAAAAACAATTATACTTAAACATTCAAAAGCTTAGATAGGCCCAGAAAATGGTTCCTTATAATCCAGAGGCCTAGAAAAATTATTCTAAACACACAATGGTTCAGATAGGGTTAGAAAATAAAAATAATAGCCGGAATTAGACATTTAGAGTAGGAACAGAAAATGTATTCTTAAAAATTCAATGGCTCAGATTAACCTTTAAAAATATTCTTAAAAATCCAGCAGACCTTGCAAACTTATAATTAAAATACTACAGAGGGTCAGATAGGCGCATAAATTTGATTGACTTTGAAAAATTATTCTTTAATATTTAGATGCTCTGACAGGTCAGAAAGATTCTTAAAAATCCAGAGGGTCACATATGCCAAAAAATTATTCTTAAACATTCAAAAGCTCAGATAGGCCTAAAAAAGGGTTCTGTAAAATCCAGAGGCCAAGAAAAATTATTCTAAACATACAATGGTTCATAGGGGGCTAGAAAATGAAATAGTAGCCGGAATTAGACATTTAGAGTTCCCAGTGGCTAGAATACCTTTGGTTCACTGATATCTTGGTTCATTGAAGATCACGTGAAAAATATTTTCGATACTTCCAAAAATATTTATACTCCACACAACTGTGTTTTGAGAATATTATTCGTTTGTGTGTCCCAAAAGTTTGTAACGACAGACTATCTAAATCGATCTAGACACGCATGCTCTGTCCATTCGTATATTATAATTAAACTACAGGCCTCAGTTCTGGCCAAAAACTACACCTATAGTAATGATCGGTTAATGGACCAAAAATATTTTTTTGGCTGTTTTTATTATTATGTTTTTATTATGACCCGAACATTAGGAAATGTTACACAAAGGGAAAGAAATCTGGTCATCAAATATTCATGGTTGTTTTAATGATGATAGACTAACATTTAACGGGACAAATGGTCCGAGAATTTTAAGCATTTTTTGGCGAAAATATCATAGACACCAGCATTTTCATTTCGGGGGTACCCGCTAATAAAAAATAGCTACGTCGCTGGTCACCAGTAGCGCCAGATTTTCAAAAAAATAATTTTAAACATCTAGAGGTTCAAGAGATCCAGAGGTCTAGAAAAATTATTCTAAAAAAAGCTAGAGGGTCAGATAGGCCTAGAAAAATTATTTTTAAGAATCCAGAAGGTCAGACAAGTCTAAAAAATATTCTTAAAAATGCAGAGCGTCAGATGGACCCAGAAAAAAAATATTCTTAAAAATCCAGACGGTCAAACAAACCCAGAAAAAATATTTTAAAAATCCGGAGGGACAAATCTGTCTAGTAAAATTATTCTTAATAATTCAGAGGATGAGACCTAGACCCAGAAGGAATTTTCTTTAAAATATAGAGGGTCAGATAGGCCCAGAAAGAATTTTCTTTAAAATCTAGAGGGTCGGATCGGCCCAGAAATAATTTTCTATAAAATCCGATTTCAGTGTCGATTTTGAATAAAATTATTTTATTTTTTGACCGAATGTAAATTATTATTTAATATAAATTTCATATAGCTGTACCATATTGCCCGAACACAGTTTTCGATATATATATTTTTTTTTTTTCAAAAAGATTCCGGACAAAAATTTATTTTGAGATCTCACTAGCAAAAACTTGGATACATTAGTAGTGACCAAACCTGCACCTTATAGAATTATTTAAAAAAATTTAAACCCTTGTAGTTAATCTCAAAATTTCATCTTGGTAACTCTACCCAGTCAGGGTTGGGATTTCATAAGTTTTGCAATGAGTTTCCTCGTTCATGCACAATAAAGGCATAACATATATAAAATGAATACGAATTAGTGGAACTTTTGCAATATATACCTTCAATATTATTCACAAAGATCATAGTAACAAAAAAACAACAATAAATTAATGAGTCAGTATCTACAACAACAAATATACAGCACACACAACAACCACTATTTCCATATTACTAGCTGTTGGTTACTACATTCCAGCTCTGCATTACTGTATAGCAAGAGTGTGTGTGTATGTAAAAGTGGTGGTGGTTTTATTTCAATGTTCGGAGATTTTCAGTGTCACACATTGTGTGCGCTAGCAATGTTTATCTCATCGTAATTCTCATTCACGTTGTACTAGTGGTCACTCTTATATTCCACTTTTGACGGTGGTCAAATCACTCTGGCTTCTCTTCAGTTGTCGAATAAATCTTTCGCCTTTTACTAAAGATTTCCGTGGAGAGGAGCACTCTAATGAGTCTAAACGGAATTTTTTCAGAGGCCTTTCCATTAGGAAGGGCCATAATTTAATACATTGAAAATGATTTGAAATAAAGGGAAAGTTCGGGTATTCCAGATGCGGTAATTTTTTATTGCTCCTGAAAAATATTTTCGTTTTTTGCGGGACCTACATGAAATAGTTTTCAGCAATCTGAAACTTTTCGTTTTTATCAAAATTGTTCAAAATCGATTTTCGACTTTTAATGACTTCTGCAAAATCTACTAAAAATTTGATTTTTTATATGAATTATTGTGAACAGCTAAAGTAAAGTTCCGGGAAGTGAAATTTTTGGGCAATTTGAGCTTTTTTATAAAAAAAAAACAAGTATATATGAAGAAAATCGAAAGTCGATCTTGAAAAATCGACTTTACGATTTTCTGATAGATCAGAAGTCGACGTAGACTTTTAGACTTTTCAATATAAAAAGTCGATTTACTTATCCCTACCTCCGATAGTCGTTCTCCTTAATGTCCTTTCTTTTGTATTTCTTTTTTTCAGATTCAAGTAGTCAACGGTGTCATACTGATATCCTGGCGTCAATCGGTGCTACAAAAACAAATCGATTATGGCGCCAAATTGGGTCATGTCGTGCTCTCCTTAGCCAAAATGGAATTAGAGAATTTCTTTAAGAATGTTATGCCGGTGGCGGATTATTTCGATCAAAGCGATATGTTAATAGCGGTAAGTATTCAACCTGATACCCCATAAAAACCCTGGGTTTCCAACAATCTCTCCCCCACTTTCAGGTTAATGGTGAACGAGCCCCCTCAGAGGTCTACAAAGATTTCCGTTCGGCTGTGCTTGACATATTGAGTTCGCTGGAAAATCAGGAGGCCATTCTCAATGGAGTAACAGGTATGGGCAGAGGGATAAATGATATACCGGGCAGTATAGTTAGCGTAGATACGGCACCTAGTCAAGCACCACCACAACCACCACAGAATATTCCAGGAAATCTTAATTATAACGCTGGTCAATCACTTTCAACAGTGCCACCAATACAGCAACAGACGACCACCACTAACCATCTAATGGACGATCGGAATATAACAAATGCTGTAATATCGCACATTGCCTCAAATGCAGCCCAAGCAGTGGGTTCGGCAGGTCCGGGGGCGGTCACCAGACAACCGATGTTGACCAATGCAGCCACCTCGATGAGCAACGATATGAATGGTATACCGCCGGTAATATGGGTGATTGGTGGACCGGGTAGCAATAAGGCTACGCTGTGTATGAAGGCGGTTGGTTTGAATCCGGGATGGGCTCATTTTAGGTAAGACACGAAAATGCAGAATTTAAAAAAAGGTTTAAATTTATTATTTATTTTTCCAGTGTGGGCCGCCTATTGCGCAGCATTACCGATGCCGCGCCACGTGCCAATACAGAAAGTTATGCCGTTAAGGAAGCCTTAGCAGCTGGGGAAATGGCCCCGGAAAAGGCCATCAACAGCATTTTGGAAACAAATTTGCGTCAAATGTCGGATAAGCAGGGCATAATTATTGATGGGTTCCCCAGGAATATGCAGCAGGTTAAATATTTTGAGGATAAGGTAAGGATAAAAAGAGATTTAACTAGTCGGTGGCCCTAAGAGGCCTTGAACATATATTCTTAAATTCAGAGGCCCTGACGGGTTTTGGCAAAAATATTTTTAAAAATCCAGAGGCTCAGATAGGTCCAGAAAGTTATTCTTTAAAATCCAGAAGCTGATAGAGGATTTAGAACACATCTTTTGAGTAATCCAGAGGGTCATAGGTCTAGAAAAAATAATTTTACAAATTCGGAGGGCCGGATAGTCCCAGAAAAATTATTCTTTAGAATCCAGAGGGTCAGCTAGGCCAAGAAAAATTACTCTGAACAAAAAGGCATAGAAAAATTATTTTTAAAAATTCAGAGGGTCAGCTAGGCCAAGAAAAATTACTCTGGAATATATGGAGGGACAGAAAGGCATAGAAAAATTATTTTTAAAAATTCAGAGGGGGAGATAGGTCAAGAAAAATTATTATTAAACAATTTAGATAGGTATAAAATATTATTCTTAAAAATACAGAGGGTCAGATAGACCCAGAAAAAATGTTCTTAACGATACAGAGGGTCAGATAGGCCCAGAAAAAATTATTCTTAAAAATATAGAGGGTCAGATAGGCCCAGAAATAAATATTCTTAAAAAAAGGGGTCAAATAGGCCCAGAAAAAGTATTCTTAAAAACACAGAGGGTCACATAGTCCCAAATTTTTTTTAATCCACGCCTTGTATAGTTCCCTGAAAAACTCTACGCCTTGTATAGGTCCCTGAAAAAAATCCACGCCTTGTATAGTTCTCTGAAAAACTCTACGCCTTGTATAGGTCCCTGAAAAAAATCCACGCCTTGTATAGTTCCCTGAAAAACTCTACGCCTTCTATAGGTCCCTGAAAAAAATCCACGCCTTGTATAGTTCTCTGAAAAACTCTACGCCTTGTATAGGTTCCTGAAAAAAATCCACGCCTTGTATAGTTCCCTTGTATAGGTCCCTGAAAAGACTCCACGCCTTGTATAGATCCCTGAAAAACTCCACGCCTTGTATAGGTCCCTGAAAAACTCCACGCCTTGTATAGGTCCCTGAAAAGACTCCACGCCTTGTATAGATCCCTGAAAAACTCCACGCCTTGTATAGGTCCCTGAAAAACTCCACGCCTTGTATAGGCCCCTGAAAACTCCACGCCTTGTTCAGGACCCTTAAAAAATATTTTTAAAAAATCCACGCCTATTTTATTTTATATATATTTTCAGTATAAACAACGCCCACCCATAATTCTCTTGGATTGTTCGAAATTACAACTTGGCCGGGGACGGATTGATGACACCGTCTCCTCATTTCGCCGCCGTTTGGAGCTATTTCGTGAACAAACCTTGCCAATGCTTAAGGCCATGGATAACAGTAATCGTTTGCAGATTGTAAGTCAATTTTTTCCGATTTTTAAAAATATTGAAAAAAAAATCATAATTTCCTTCCTTTACAGATCGATGGCGACACCGATAGCCCCTCGGTCCAGCGGGAATTTGAAAAATCTATACGGAATCATATACAAAATCTTACAGGGGCTACAGCCAATAATGTCGGTCAGATGGGAGGTGGTGGTGGTGGTATGCCCCTGGCAGGGGGTGTAGCTGCTGGAGGACGCATGGATCAACAAACCGATGCCATATTACAGGATCTAGAAAATAATGTGCCTGGTGCAGTGCCAACAATAAGCCATCATGTCAGTCTCATGAATGGCCATTTGAAGAACCGCAACACTAGCGGTCATCAATTAGCAAATAACAACAACAACAAGGGTCCCAACTCATATATGAACGGCGATATAGGCCAGACCGGCCAAACCATGGACTTTCGCCATATGCTAGAGGAGGCCGAACGTTATCCGGTCGATTCGTATATGTAAAAAGGAGGAGGACCCTCAGAGAAGGGAGAACCCTCATCGGAAGGGATCTACACTTCGTTACACACTGGAGCTGGGTCTCCATAGTCAAAAATTTAGATTTTAAGTCGATTAAGTCGGAACTTGGATTTATATCATTTTATATGGACCAAGTAGTAGTAGTAGTTGTAAGGTTAGATTTTTAAGACCAACATCAATGGTTTGGAGCTTTACAAAGGAAAAAAAAAATCTCGAAGTCATATTTTTTGGAAATTAATTTTCGAAAAAAAAATTGGACATCTTGAGATCGATTACATATAAGTTCGAATCTTTACAATTAAAAAAAAAATATTTTATTTTTAATTCTTAAGGAATATTGAAATTTGCAATTGAATTGCATTAACAATTTAGCAGAATGTGGGTTTGAAATGCCAATCACGGCATTCCGAACTTATTTTCTATGCTGAATCGATAAGTTAGAGAATAGAACAAAAAAATTATGGATTAGTTTTTAAGTTGTTTGTTGAAATTTTATCTAATAAAGTTTAATCAAAAATAAAAAAATATATTCTTAAAAATCCAAAAAGTCAGATAGACCCGGATAAAATATTCTTAAAAACCCAGAGGATCGGATAGGCCCTGAAAAAATATTTTTAAACATCCAGAGGGTCAGATAGGAAAGGAAAAACTATTCTTAAAAAAAAAATATTCTTAAAAATCCAGAAGATCGGAGGATATGCCCTGAAGAAAATATTCTTAAAAATCCAGAGGGTCAGATAGTCCTTGAAAAAATAGTTTAAAAATCCACGCCTTGTATTCCTTACTTAGCTGGCTTGTGACAGAACTTTCGTTGCGAGCTTAAAAAAGATTTCCAGGCGCGTCGGTCTTTTGTGCAGTTTTTCCAGTTTGAACGATCGTATTCGGCAATGTTGTCCTCCGCTTGATCTTTCCATCTTATTCGTGGCCTTCTCCTTCTACGTGAACCATCAGCTGGTTCGCTTTTATATGCCTTCTGGGCATCTAAGGCATCTTCATCCATTCTCACAACATGACCTAGCCAACGTAGTCGCTGCAGCTCAATACGTCTAACAATGTCGATGTCCGAGAAAAGCTGGTACAACTCATGGTTCATTCGACGGCGAAGCAGATCGGCAGATCTCTCAAACACTCCAAGAACTGCCTCATCTGCTTGCGTAAGTACCCATGCTTCAGATCCATATAACAGCACGGGTAGTATCAGTGTCTTGTAAAGTATGAGTTTGGTCTGGCGGGAGGTGGACTTGCTTTTGAGTTGTTTGCTCAGACCATAGTAGCATCTGTTGGCCATCACTATCCTTCTCCGAACTTCAAAACTGATGTCATTCGTTTGGTTTATGGCGGTACCACAGTTGGTCCGACGAGTCTACTGGACGTCTTGCGCGTTGATACCATCAGCTTGGTCTTCTCGCCGTTTACTGCCAGACCCACTTTGGCCGACTTCTTCTTAATTTGTTCAAAAGTGGCTGTTACCGCACGCAATGTTCGACCCATTATATCGATGTCATCGGCGTAGGCGAGTAACATTTGTTGTTCGGTGTACAGAGTGCCATTTCTGTTCACCTTTATACGCTGCGTTTTTCATATTAGTAGCATTACGACACTCCTGATCTACAACGGATTTCTTGATGGTGGTTTTTGGAATCCAAGTGTTGCTTTTGCTTTGTTTGTAGGGAGTGGGCAATTCTCTGACACTGTGCTTCTATATTATTATCGGGACAAGGGTTGCTTTCGTCAAGCAGTTATGTAAGTTGAGCGGAGTAGGCTTCTGCTATCTGTTGTGTTTGCCGAGTCGAGTTTCCGTGTTGTGTTAGATTGCACCTACATTAAGACGGGTGCGTACCTTGGCTGCCACAAGGCAATGGTCCGAATCGATATTCGCTCCCCGGATCGATCGGACGTCTAAAACACTGGATGAATGCCTTCCCTCTATTACAACATGATCGATTTGATTTCTTGTTGTTCGATCGGGAGAAATCCAAGTGGCATTGTGTATATCGAGATGCTTGAATCTGGTGCTGTTAACTACCATGTTTTATGCTGGCGCGAAGTCAATCAACTTTATGTGTGATGTTTCTTCATGAAGGCTGAATTTTCCGACGGTGGGGCCCTTCCGATTTTGCATTAAAATCTCCTAGCAGAATTTTAATGTCATGGCCAGGGCAACGGTCATATGCTGTTTTTAAGCGCTCGTAAAAAATGTCTTTGGTCTGTTCATCTTTATCTTCGGTCGTAGCATGGGCGCAATTGAGACTGATGTAGAAGAACTTCGCTTTTATACGGATTATAGCAATTCGCTCATCTACTGGAGTGAATCTGAAGACGAGGTCTTTTATTCTCCTTTTAACCATAAATCCGCAGCCAGATTCATGTCTCGTTTCATGGCAGCTATAATACAGGGCGTAATCATCCGATTTACTTACGCCAGTCCCTTCCCATCGCATTTCCTGTAAGGCAAAGTTATCGGCTTTGTACTTTTTGAGTACATCCGCCAAAGCGAAAACTGCGCCTGTTATGTACAAGGTTCGCACATTCCAAGTGCAGAATCGCAGATCGTGGTCCTTTATATGTTTGCGGGGGTCGTCAACATTGGGGGGTTTGGTTTTCTTATTTGTTGCTTTTTCATAGTAGGTTCGGTTTTCCAAGTGTGGGCAACTAACCCGACGCCTCAACCCATTTTTTATAGTTCTTATGGGTGAAATCGCGGCACATATTAGCTCACTATTTCATCGGGTGATGAAAATAGCTATCCCAGGTGGCACCACGGGGAGGTCATTGTGAAAGAGGTTGGAGGGACCAAGATAAGCTTGGACTTCGCCATGTTAAAGCCAATCAGAGCCGTTGCTTGTTATCTATCATCCCCTACACCACCTCCATGCCTTGTTTAGGTTCCCGAATAAAATATATTTTTTTTAAATCCAAGCCTTTTAAAAATCCCTGAAAAAATATTAGAACATCGTCTTGTTTTTTGCCTTAAGAATTTCTTGGCGACTGATGTAGTGCCCAAGTATGTGTATATGAGGGTGGGTGTGCGCCCAAAGAAAACATAGAGATACCGTTGAAAAATATTATCAATTTAAAATAAAATATTAGTTTTCGTTTTGATATTTGTTTTGACTCGGATTACTTCTTTGTTGGGTTTGTCATCGCAGCTATCTCTCCTGGTGTGTCTGTCTCCTGTTCGAAGCCTATCGTCCACCGTATTAAATAAATAAAAAAAAAAACTGACAGATGATATGACTGACCTGTCTGCCTGCCTGTGAAGTAAATAAATTGTAAAACGATGAACCAGAGCAGAGCAGAATGAAAAAAATGTCCCGGAGTAAATTAACTGATTATCTCGAAGGCGGAATGCAGTAATATTTCTTCCACTTTTTTTCTTAGTTAGTCTTTAGATTTCAGAGCTAGTAGGTGGTTGTAAACGAATAAGAAGAACTTCGAATTATTGTAATAAATTATTAAAATAAAATGGAAAATATTGAACAGCGTCTGAAAGAAATGGAGAAACGCGGACTGATCCGTTCGAAAATGGCAAAGCCGGCCCAAGTGGGATTATACCACTATTATCATACGGATTTTTATTATTCAATGCCGGAAATAAGCAGTAAGTATTCCAAAATCAAAAAAAATATTGGAAAAATCTACGCCTTGTATTGGGCCTTGAAAAAAATATTCTTTAAAAATCTACGCCTTGTATTGGCCCTTGAAAAAATATTCTTTAAAAATCTACGCCTTGTAGTGGCCATTGAAATTTTTTTTGAAAAAAATCGTCTTGTGTAGACACCAAAAAATACAATACTAGCCATATGATACCTTTCGATATTTACATTCCGACACACAAGTGTTGGAAAATGCTTTGCTGGGAAAATTTCCTTACAACACTATTAAATAAATTTCATAGACACAAACCCAAACAATTCGTTTTCGGATACTACAATGTTGCCAGCTTCGTATCATTGCCATCTAGCAGTCAACAAAACTTGAAAATCCTCAGACAAATTTGAAAACAATATTTTAAAAAAATCCACGCCTTGTATAGATACAAAAAAATACTTTTTAAACCAGTAAGGAAAGTAGTAAAGTCGGACTGGGCCGACTATATAATACCCTTCACCAATTTGGTATATTGTACACATTTATCCTTACAATTGCATGTCAATGTTCCCTCGAAGGAACATACTCCCATACTAGCAATAGCAGCTATATCTAAATCTGAACCGATTTTCACGAAACTTAACACACATCACTCTAGACCTTATTCAGTACACTATGCCAAATTTCGTGCAAATCGAAGGATACAAAGGGACATTGGTGCACTATTCACCTAAAATCGGACGAAAATATATATGGAAGCTATATCGAAATCTGAACTGATTTTCACGAAACTTTGTACACATCATTCTAGACCTAATTCAGTACGCTGTGCTACATTTCGTGCAAATCGAATGATATATAGGGACATTGGTGCACCATTTACATAAAATCGGACGAAAATATATATGGGAGCCATATCTACATCTGAACCGATTTTCATGAAACTTTGCACACATCATTCTAGACCTAATTAATTAAGCTATGCTAAATTTCGTGCAAATCGAAGAACATATGGGTCTTTGGTGCACCATTTACACAAAATCGAAGGAAAATATATATGGGAGTTATATCTAAATCTGAATCGATTTTCACGAAACTTTGCACACATCATTTTAGACACAATTCAGAACGCTATGCCAAATTTCGTGCAAATCGAATGATATATAGGGACTTTGGTGCACTATTTACCTTAAATCGGACGGAAATATATATGGGAGCTATATCTAAATCTGAACCGATTTTCACGAAACGTTGCACACATCATTCTAGACCTAATTCAGTACGATGTGCCAAATTTCGTGCAAATCGAAAGATATGTAGGGACATTGGTGCACCATTTACCTAAAATCGGAGGAAAATATATATGGGAGTTATATCGAAATCTGAATCGATTTTCACGAAACTTACCACACATCATTCTAGGCTCAATTCAGTTCGATATTCCAAATTTCGTGCAGATCGAAAGATATGTAGGGACCTTGGTGCACCATTTACCTTAAATCGGTCGAAAGCATATATGAGTGCTATATCTAAATCTGAACCGATTTTCAGGAAACTTTGCACACATCATTCTAGACTCAATTCAGTACGCTATGCCAAATTTCGTGAAAATCGAAAGATAGATGAACCATTTACATAAAATCGGACGAAAAAATATATGGGAGCTATATATAATCTGAACCGATTTTCAGGAAACTTAACACACACCATTCTAGGCTCAATTCAGTACGCTGTGCCAAATTTCGTGCAAATCGAATGATATATATGGTCTTTGGTGCACCATTTACCTTAAATCGGACGAAAATATATATGGGAGCTATATCTAAATCTGTACCGATTCTCATGAAACTTTGCAAACATCATTATAGACCTAATTTAGTACGCTGTGCCAATTTTCGTGCAAATCGATGAATATATAGGGTCTTTGGTGCACGATTTACATAAAATCGGTAGAAAATATATATGGGAGCCATATCGAAATCTGAAGCGATTTTCACGAAACTTTGCACACATCATTGTAGACTTAATTCAGTAGGCTGTACCAAAATTCGTGCAAATCGAAAGATATATAGGTACATTGGTGCACTATTTACCTAAAATCGGACGAAAATATATATGGGATATATCTAAATCTGAACCGATTTTCACGAAATTTAACTCACACCGTTTTAGACTAAATTCAGTACGCTATGCCAAATTTCGTGTATCTCGAAAAAAATCCACGCCATATTGCCGTTAACAAATATTTTCCCCACTGTGCAGTGTTTAGTTTGGTTGCATGCCGCCGATTTCTTTGTTTTGATTTCCCAAAAAAAACAATAAAACAAATGAAAACCTTAGAAAATGAGAGAGAGAGGGCATAGAAACCCCCCTTCCCCTCCACCAAACAACCATTCACAATCGAACTATGTAGAATAGAAGACGAAACGCCAATTAAGAGTAGTAGGAGAAGAAGAGACGAACACAACAAAATTGAATTTTCAATTTTTCGTATAATGAGGGGCCAGCCAGCCAACCAGCACAACCAAATTGAGAAACAAATCCGTCAGTCACTAGTCAGTCAGTTCCAATATTTCATTGGTGGTGAATGGAACAGTGTATTTTCGGTTTCGAAAGAGGGAAGAAAATAAATAAAAATTCGATTGTTCGGAACGACAATGCGATGAGACATTTACGTGAAAATTGTAATAGCATTACAACAACACCAACAACAACAATATTCTCAAATAAATTACTAAAGAAAAACATGGCTTTATAAAATCAAAAAAAAAAAAAAAATAACAACAACAACTGAAAAAAATTCCAACAACCTAAAAATTGTGAAATATGTGAGAGTTGTTACAGTTCCGTACTAAATAAAAAATTATTAAGCCATTGTTAATAATTTAGTGTAACATAAAAAAAACCACAACAAGTGGAAAATGAAAATTTTAAAAATTTTATTTTGAATGAAAATCCCCTCATAAAAAAATTTTTGTGTTTTTTTTTCTGAGTCATTTTTTTGATTGTGAAACGGTAATAAAAAAAACAGAATTTTTGTGAATTAAAATTCGATTAATTAACACAAAGGAAATAACAACAACAAAAAATACAAAAAAAATAATAACAAAAAGCACAAACAAAAAAGCTGAAAAGAACTATCGGAATTTTTGGTGTGACACCTTCGACATTTTTATCGGCAACGTCGACATCAATGACCACGTCGGTCCGACCCGTTGTTCTATAATATTGTTTAATTCGATTTTCTTTTGTTTAATTATTATTATTACTGTTGTTGTAATCGAGATGCCCTCAGTAACAATAAATTTGTTGTTGTTGCTATTGTAGCTGTCATATAAAAGAAGGAAAAAAGAAGAAGAAGAAAACAAATAATTATTTATTTAATTTTTCTTGCATCGGGGTCTATTTGTATGACAGCTGATATTTGTTGTGTTCTACTGCTGCCTCTTCTTCTTCTACTTTTGTTGTGCTAACGCGGCGCAGTCGGCGGTGCATTCAACTTCATCATCATCATCATCAGCGTCGGTCGTCGTCATCATTATCTTGGCCACTCTACCACCCCACCATCGTCACTGTAATGCCAAGCAATAGGAAATTTGTCGATACAACAACCACCGCCATCGTCTCTATTCCAACCTCGACCCAGCCAAAGAGAAACCGCCACACAACAACCTCGTACAACAGCAACAACAACAACACCATCTATCAACAACAAAAGCAACAACGAACAACGTGTTGTCCACAGTGGTATTCCTCCTCATCATCCACATCAGCTTTATTGGTGGACAAACGAGCCATAATGTAAGTGTTCCAAGTTGTAAGACATACAAACGTAAATGTGGGGTAAACGTAAGAGAACTGGGTCGCCAATATTTATACCATTCACCACACTGTGGTACTACAGGGTATTATGTCTTTGTGCATATGTTTGTAACAGGCAAAAGGAAACGAGGTAGACACATGGTTCCTTGTGAGAATATGCATAGAATCACTTTCTAAGTCGATTTATGTATGTCCGCACATCCGCCCGTCTGTCCACCTGTCCGTCCGTCTGTCCACCTGTCCGTCCGTCTCTTGACGTTATATTGTAAACAAAAAATCGGTTCAGATTTATATATAGCTCCCATATATATTTTCGTTCGATTTAAGGTAAATGGTGCACCAAAGACCCTATATATATTTCGATTTGCACGAAAATTGGCACAGCGTACTAAATTAGGTCTAGAATGATGTGTGCAAAGTTTCATGAGAATCGGTTCAGATTTAGATATAGCTTCCATATATATTTTCGTCCGATTTTATGTTAATGGTGCACCAATGTCCCTTTAAATTTTTCAATTTGTACGTAATTTGGCAAAGCTTACTGAATTGACTATAGAGTGGTGAGTTTCGTGAAAATCAGTTAAAATTTAGATATAGCTCCCATACATATTTTCGTCCGATTTTATGTAAATGCTACACCAACGTCCCTATATAATCTTCGATTTGCACGAAATTTGGCATATCGTACTGAATTGAGTCTAGAATGATGTGTGCAAAGTTTCGTGAAGATCGGTTCAAATTTCGATATTGCTCCCATATATATTTTCGTCCGATTTTATGTAAATGGTGCCACCAATGACCCTATATATCATTCGATTTGCACAAAATTTGGCATAACGTACTGAATTGAGTCTAAAATCATGTGTGTTAAGTTTCCTGAAAATCGGTTCATATTTAGATATAGCTCCCATATATATTTTCGTCCGATTTTAGGTAAATAGTGCACTAAAGTCCCTATGTGTCCTTCGATTTGCACGAAATTTGGCATAGTGTACCGCATTGAGTCTAGAACGATGTGTGCATAGTTTTGTGAAAATCGGTTCAGATTTAGATATAGCTCCCAAATATATACTTTCGTCCGATTTTAGGTAAATGATGCGCCAAAGTCCCTAAATATCTTTCGATTTGCACGAAATTTGGCATAACGTGCTGAGTTAGTCCTAGAATGACGTACGTGAAGTTTCGCGA